TTAACACTAAGCACAGACTCCAAGTCACTGTGACTTGGAATCTGGTAGCAACTATCTTGGCTTTAATTATTTTTTAAAAATTCTTTAAAATTCTTTCCTTTTCCTGAGGAGACTGGTGAGGCCCCACCTCCTTTGCCTCTAGTGACTGCACATCCCTGGTCAGGACAATGTGTGAACCCTGCTGCTGTGTTTTATTTTTTAAGCCAGAATTCCTTCCCCAGTTCTAGCGGGCTTTCCCACTTTTCAAATGTTTGTGGATTGTTTTCTCCATCACACAAATGTAGGTATTTTAAGTAAGCTCAGGCATTAACTAAAATTTACATTATTCATTCTTAAATAGGAGTTAGGCATCTCAAAGCCTATCAATCCCATGTGATCTCGAAATCTTTGTTTTATGCCCTAGAACCTCCCTAAATAAAATGTGTAAAGCTTTTGAAAAAGTTGGGACTCTTAATGGCAAGATCTTATCAAATAATCTGAAGACATAAAAAAGGAGGAAGTTGCTTCAGTTCCTGCATGTTGTCATAACATGATCACATTCCTCTACCTACTCAGAATTTGGAGGGGTAGAGTAACTCCTATATAACTTCATGCTGTACAACTGCCATATTTAAATACTTAAATTAGGATAAATCAACTACTGTATATTGCAAGTGTAGAACTTGATATGATTTCCAGGGTAGTTCTAATTCTAGATGAGGCTTTATTTGTGCAATTGTTGTATCCTGTTTTAAGGATTCTGCTCATTTTAATAGAAAGCTCATTACATTTAGTTGGCACATACAAATTATTCTCCATTTTATTTTTTTATTTCCAGCATATGTTATCCAAAGTGGGAATGTGGGATTTTGACATTTTCCTGTTCGATCGCTTGACAAATGGTAAGGTACAAAGAATCAGCATAAAACAATATTTTGTTAACTCTATGTCCAACAGTCATGTTTCATGTTTTCACTGATTGCACTCAAGGTTGTTCCTGCAACATCAAAGCTTGTCTTGTTGAAACTTTTCTTCTTGTGCAACATGAAGGGAAATAGCCTAAACAGACAGGATAGAAGACTGCAAAAATGCCTTTTACAGTTGTGATGATACTTTCCTATATCGTAGAATTTACCTTTTGCAGAACATCTTGGCTCTTGTTGGTACAAACAAAGATACCAACTCTGTAACTGTGGACAAAAAAGAAATAAAAGGAAAAGAAGAGATACCTGAATTGTCCATTTCATATCAAAAGTCTGTAGAGATTTGTGCAAGTTCACAGCACATTCATGTTGTTTCTTGTTGTCATTGACACTTTTAATCTCCTAATTTCCTGGTTCAGTATATGCTAGGCATCAATCCTCTCTCTTTATCACTCCAGATCCTGCTAAAAACAACCATCTTAACTTGCTCCTACAGATAGTGTTTGTTGTTTTTGAAGCAAAACAAACAAAATCCAACAACTGCTTTCTTAATAATTTGTGTGACTTTAGCTGATTAGAATCAGCCTTTAGGCTATGATGTCAGGTGGAAGATTGGGCCCAGAATTCCCCTAATCCACCCCCATACTTTCATTAGTGGCATATGTCCCTGCCAAAAAAAAAATACTATAAAATTCAGGGTGACACTTATCTCTTACTTTTGTTCAAAGTATCCTGGAAAAGTTTTTTTTTAAAAAAACTTTCAAAATGCATTGCTCTGACCACAATGGTACAAGATTATTTTTGCAACTCAGCCTTTGGTGTAAATTCTGGCTTTCATTCAATATGCAGCCTACTTCGCCTTCAGAAGAAATGTGATAACAACAGATATATTGCATAAAAGACAGCCTGCTGACTGTACCCATCTTTCAGGTGCAATGAGCAGTGTCTGAATAGCGCTATGAGCTTTCTCAGCCTGGAACGCCCATGAAGTATAGGCAGTCTTCAGCAGTATGAAATCATTGTGCAAAGAATAGGATGTTTGGACATCATTGAAAACTCCTGGACATGTTCTTCCAATCACAAAAATGTGTAGGTTATCCTTGACTTACAACCATTCATTTGGTGAACTGTTTAATGTGATAATGGCACTGAAAAAAAAGTGATTTGTGACTGGTCCCCACACTTATGACCATCACAGCATTCCCACAGTCACATAATCAAAATTTGGGTTTATGTCTCATCCCCACATGACCATCATAAGCCCCCTCCCCGGTCATGTGATCAAAATGTGGGCACTTGGCAAGCAGCTTCTATTTATGATGATTGCAGTGTCCTGAGGTCATACATTTCCATTGGAGACCTTTCCTACAAGCTTCCAACAAGTAAAGTCAATGGCAACCCAGATTCATTTAATAACTGCAGTGATTTGCTTAACAACATAGCAAAAAAAAAAAAGGTTGTAAAATCGGAAGCAACTCAGTTAAGAACTACCTTGCTTAACAACAGAAATTTGGTCCCAATCGTGGTTGTAAGTTGAATACTACCTATATTCATCTGACCATGTGGCAAATATAAGAAATACTCTTATTTCATATCTGAAGTTGACTCAGTACTGCTAGAAAGTGGGTAGAAGGTCTTACTATTGGCCCTCCAGATGTTCTGGAAATATCTTTAGCTGCCATGCTAGCTGGAAATTTTTCTTTTTCCAATAAACTTACACCACTACTTGTTTAGATAATTAAAAACTAGTGGGAGGATTTCTAGAGTTATAGAGCCTGCATTCTACCTACTTCATAGTATAGTAAATGTAGGTAACTGATATGCCCTTTTTGTTCTTTCAGGAAACAGCCTGGTAACCTTGTTGTGCCACCTTTTTAATATACATGGACTTATTCATCATTTTCAGTTAGATATGGTTACATTATACAGGTTTTTAGGTAAGCATATTCTTTCATCAATTGTCAGTGTTGATGATATCTCTCTGTCTATCTCTCATCGATCTCTCTGTCTCTTTATTTATCATCTCTCTCTGATCCATCTCTTATCTATCTATCTATCTATCTATCTATCTATCTATCTATCTATCTATCTATCTATCTATCTATCTATCTATCTATCTATCTATCTATCTATNTCTACTGAACCGGTTAGAAGAGGTTCCACCAGTGGACCCGGAAACCAGGCCACACCTACAGAAGAGGTTCCAAAAAATTTTGAAACCCACCACTGCTATGTAAATAACAACCATCAGTGTGTGAAAAGCTTACCATTCTTTTAACCTCTCTCTGAGTGTGATATGAGTGCATTACCTGTTAGCTGTGGAATGCACATTTCAGACTTCAAACATCTCTGTATCAAACGTTTACTTCATATTCTTTTCGTTTATTGGAAGCTAGTTAGTTCAAAAAGAGTTTTCCTGGTAAAGCAGTGATAATTTAATTCTCTGATTGACTAAGTTGCTTGTTGAGTCATTGAGTCAGTTCCTTTCGGTAACTCGTATGTGGTAATTAAAATTAGTTTTCATTATCATGTCATACTGCCTGTCAGTGACTGATAGAACACACTACTTGATTGCCTTAATTAAGAACAAGAGGAAATTCCATGCTGCATTGTTGACATGGGATCAGTGATTCACACCATAGTTTATAAAAAATGGAGTATGCTTTTCATGTACTGTTCCTAACTGAAAACTGGTAATTAAGGATCAAAAGCAAAGATTTAGGAATAATATCAATATACCTCTTGTCAAGAAAACAATGGATGACTAATTTATTAAGAATTCTCACTTAAAGTATTAATGATTAGGTTCAAATTATTATATACTTTGGTTGTTTACATAAAGATCCAGCTTTTTTGAGAAGTCCATAATGGTGGGAAAGGGACAAGAAACATGAGAAGACAATCTATAGAAATAGCAATAATGGATCCATTATTGGGGAGCTAATGGACCAAGCTAAGGTCAAATTATCATGGAGAAGATCTGTTTTTGTTATTGGTAAGAGTCAACACAGTCTTGCTGATTCATAATCAGTTAATATATTCCACCTTCAATATAACCTTTTTTTAAAAAAAGATCCCTTACTATTATTTTAGGTAGGTTAAAAATTCTTACTACCGTACTGTGTTTTCCTGAAAATAAGACAGGGTCTTATTTTTTATCCCCGAAATAAGTGCTTGGCCTTATTTTCAGGGAGGTCTTATTATTTTTGAGGTGCAGGAGGCGGTGAGCATGGTCACCTTATGGCTGTTGCTGTCTTGCAATATTTTCAGGAAGGGCTTATTTTAGGATGAGAGCTTATTTTAGCACATGCACTCAAAAGCCTGATTGGGCTTGTTATCCAGGGAGGTCTTATTTTCAGGGAAACAGGGTAAAATTCTAATTTCTAAAACTAAAAATTCCAATTTCATGGAATTGCTTATCACAGAATTTAGTTTCTAGTTCTTTAAACTTCCTAGTTGCCTTTCTCTGAATTATTTCAGTCTCTTTGAATTATTTTAAAAATATAACAGTAACAACCAGGCACAGTATTTGAAGGTGAAAGGTGAGGAGTATGATCAATGGAAAAATCTAATTGAACAAAAACATTTAGATGCAGTGCTTCTGTTGATGCAACTTAAATCTGACTTCATATTTTTGCAGCTGCATAATAATGCAATATTCAATTTGTAATCCATTATTTTTACAAGTATGGTGGCGATGGGTGGTGGCAATCCCCACAGCCTGGAACAGTTGATAGGCAGTATTCCGGAAGGCAGATCCAACCAACAATCAGCTGCTCTTGCTAAATCATGCTGTGTTGAAGCTGACCAAGCTGTTTGCTGTTTGCTGCAAAGAGGCAAATTGCTGAGAGGCAGATTTTTTTTTCGTGTTTTCCTCCCCAAAAGCTAGGTGCATCTTATAATCTGGAGCATTTTATAGTCCGAATAATATGGTACATAGGAATAGAATTCTGCTTGAAGAAACACTCCACTGTTTTCCAAATTCCCACCACCATTTTAAATTGTTAAATTCATTACCAAAAACCAATTTGAATGTTCATTTTATTTCATTAGCCCACACCAGTCTGTTGAAGCATTTTGAACAAACCATACCCACCTGTTGCAGTACTTTTATTCACTTAAAGTATGTTCTTGGATCAGGAGTATAGCTTTTCTTATCTAGAAACACTTTATATTATTTAATATTATCTCCACAAGAATTTAATTAATCACTTGATTATTTTCCACAGTTTCTAAAATTGAAATATATACTTTAAACCATGAGATTGGTTATTTAATTTGTTACCTGACCTTCTGTTCCAAGGAAAAGAGTGTTGTGATGATAACACAGGATATTTTCCAACTGCCATAAGGAAGAGAGAAAACAAAGTTAAAGAGCCATTAAGATGATAAATGAAAAAGCTGGATATACTCTATTATTACAGGTTCATTTGCCTTAAGGAGGAACAGGAACAGGGAAAGAAGGGCATTTCCTTTCTTTGACTTCACAATCAGCCATAAAGCATTAACCCTTTTAAAAATGACTTTAAAAGTATCTAGGTAAAAAAGCTTCTCTTATAAAATTCCTTATGTGTTTAATTATTGTATTTATAATTCAATGTATATAATATAGTTTCTTAAGGATATCTCAATGGCCTTTAAATGGGGGCATTTAAGGGGGTTTGCAAATATTTGCCATCTTAGAACCCCCAATATCAATAAAGGGGAATAGTTGTAGCTCAGGATTGAAATGAGGGGTCCTTGGTGCTCTCTGAGCTTGCTTGCTGTCTTGCAGACATTTCATTCCCTAACTAGGTAACATCATCAGTGCTATGGATAGTAAGGAGAGCTGTTTGCTGTCAGTTTGTATTCTGGTGTCTTGCCTGCCTGTCTGTGTGGGTGGGGCCAGTCTTAGGGATTCTTTGGGTGGTCAACAAAGAGCTATTAGTAAACAGCCTAACCAAAGAATCCCTAAGACTGCCCCACCCACACAGATAGACAGTCAAGACACGAGAATGTTTACTTAAGATATGTACTTTAGTAAAAATGCACTTAGACATTTATACACCATAGAAAATACTTGGAATTGAGGCCTCTTTTTCCTCCCCTTCTCTGTCACTAAGGGGGTTTAAGAACACATGTCATGCAATGTGCTTTTATAAATTGGAAGCCTGAAGGCCAAGGTGGTTTTTTTAAAACTACGTATAAGGTATTCTGCCAGCAGCTGAGTGCAGGACAAAAATGTTTTCAAATAAGTAAATATTTACTTTAAATAAGCAAAAAATAACTTCAGCCAGGGTAGGACTGGAGAAATGCAAGGATTTAGCCTTAAAATTCCATTTGCATTAACCAGGTAAATTTTATTTTGGAAAGAGTAAAATGTTTAGTTTTAATACTGAAGGAGAGATTTGTTTTTCTTTATTTAATTTAAGATATTATTAAATTAAAACAAATATATCCCAGGGCACCTTGCAAAACATTTTAAAGCCTTAGTTTGGAAATAAAAGTAGACAATGTTTTGTATGTAGCCAGCATAATCATGTCAGTAGCACTGGATTTGGATATTGAGTAATCAAGTCAGATTGATTATGCACTTTAGTATTCTCTACGAAATAAAGCAATTTTTTTATTTGCTCCCAAGCAACAATTTGTATATAATATGGGAAATGCTATACTTTAATGTGGATATGCCTTACATAAATACTACTAAAGAGTGGGGGAAATATTTAAAAGGGACACAATAAAGTTCAGTTTGAAATCTCTGTTATGTACTCAATGTTACTGTATTGAGATGAATTGAAAAAAAATATCAAGTTTTGCTTTTTGAATATAACAGTCATTTTAAAGAAGCTGTGCAGAGATATGTTAATAAATAAATAAAGTTGATTTTTATCTTTTGGATTTACAGTGTAGAAGGAAAACACTGTGAATTTGCCATTAAGGACAAAGAGACGATAGAATAGAAATTAATTTAAAATTCCCTTGTTGTCAAATGCAGGCACAAAATAATTGTCTACTACAGTCATGTTTTGTTTTATTTCTTAACGGAATATGAGGATGCATATAAGGGCTACCAGGTACAAAAATCAGGATAGCCAGCAGATGAAAATAAAGGGATGTATGTAGGAAACCTTTGTGCCATCCAGCAGGCAACCCAGATCATTTAACTATAATGCATTTAAATAATTCTCTTTGCTCATGTATCTGTTTAGGCCAGGGTTGGCTATACATATTGGCACTCTAGGCAAAATCATATCCTGGCGTCTCTTATGGATTGACTCATCTTCCGAGTTTGTTAAAAATTTCAAAATGATGTCTTTTTGTTTCTTTTTTCTTTGACACTTGAAGACTTACAGTTGTGGTTTTTTTCAACTCTGGGCCATTATTTTCACCCTATATACAGTACATTCTAAATAATTTTAAGTACATCACCGCCCCTGTTTATTATATGTCAACAACTCTTATTTAATTCTTGGCACATTGATTTAAAGTAGAATAAAATATGGATTAAAAAATATAAAAACAGAGACGTGGCAAAAGGAACAGTTAGAAGCTTGCTTAAAGGGACAGGGAAATGTCATCAGCCTTCAACCACAAAATGTTCCAGTATATGTCCTTATGTCAAAAGCCCAAAACCACAAGGTTCAATTAAAGCTCGCATAAAGACCCATAGTCAGTACCTATGGCCCAAGACAAATGGAGAAGTAAGACCCTACCCCCTTATAAGGCTTTTTCCTCAAGGTAAGCAATAAGAAATGAGTTAAGTGTTTCCGTGTTACGCTGCCTTTGAGAATGTATAAGAATGTGTGCTTCAATAATGAAGGATGTTGAGAACTTGCAATGCTAGCCATGGGCTAGCTTTCTGAACCTGGCTGCCAAATAACCTCTTCCTGTATCCTGAGAAGTCTAAGTCTGTCATTTTCTGCAACAGATTCACAGGATGAGACATTAATATTTTTCTATTTTTTTGTAGCAAGATGGACAAACTAATTGTATTATTATTTTGTGATTAATATTGATATGTCTATTAAGATTACTAGTATGATTATGGTTATTGTTGTACCTTTCCTCAAAATTGATTATGCCCAGACAACATGCTGTTCAGATATACATGGAAAATTTGATTTCCCTGAGCTGATGTCTACTAGGCCTTAGCCTACAGGCAGTCCGGTTTAGGCAGTAGAAAACAATAAACAAGTGATATTTTGATTCTTACTAGTTTCAACTTATCACATTTTTAAATAGAATGTGATGTAGTATCTTATTTCTTGTAACTGGGGGAAATAAGACCATAATTATATTATTCAGAAATTTTTAAAAAGCTAATCAAGAAGCTGTTTGCTTTTGTGAAGTTGGTGTTTATTACTTTATTAATGATCTTCTGTTTCCATTTTTTCCCCATAGATACCATTTACTCTGGAGAAATTGGAACAAAGAAAAAGATTAAGAGACTGCTAAGTTTTCAGAGATACTTCCATGCATCCAGGCTATTGCGTGGAATCATACCACAAGCCTCACTGTACTTATTGGATGAAGACTACCTTGGTCAAGCAAGGGTAAAAAGCAATCTATTCTATCAAGTTCAGTTCTTATAATCAAGCTGCCTTTGGAATCTCATTCCTAATTTAATCATAATCTGATAGATTGTTTGATCGTTATCCTGTCTTTATTATTTTCATGAATAATTCAAGGCAGCAAACATACCTAATATCCCTTCCTCCTGTTTTCCCAACAACAGTCCTGTGAGGTGGTCTGGGCTGAGAGAAACGAAATGACCCAAAGTCAGACACCCAGCTTTCATGCCTAGAACCCCCGTTTCTATCCTGGTGCCTTAACCCTTGGACTAAATGGGAATAATGAGAAGTTTCCTGCTATGTTTGAATGAAAAGCAGCTTGAAAGAGGTTTGAAAACGCAGAGACTTATGCCAAGATGTCACACTCACAGTTAGGATTTGGTTATCTGAATCGGGCCTAAACTGCATTATTAATTTAATCAGTCTGCCATATAGGCAAGATTGATTCTAAGGTACCTAGCTTAAAGAAGGTGACAGAAAAAAATATTAATACTGTACAGTACAATCTTGTAAGTGTCAATTCAGAGGTCTTTCTTGTTGAACTCTCGAATGTGTAAGTGTGGAATCATAACTTTCAACTGTAGCAGCACCATATCCAAGTAAAACTGTCCTGGGATGAATTAAAACCTTTCAACCAAGCCCCTTTATCTATTTTAACTGGTTTAGATATATTACAGGTAGTCCTCGACTTACAACCATTCACTTAGTGACCATACAAAGTTACAACAGCAGTGAAAATGTGACTTATGACTGGTTTTTACACTTATGACCATTGTAGTGTATCCCCATGGTCATGTGTTCAAAATTCAGGTGTGTGGCAACTGGCATGTATTTTTGACAGTTGCACTGTTGCAGGGTCATATAAGTATAAGTATAATTTTTATTGTCATTGCACTTAAATACAACGGAATTGGTTTTAACCTCACTGGTGCAAAATTATAACAGAAACAAAAAAAGAAAAAAAAAGAAAAAAAAACTAGCGTGTGCTTGGAGTGATTGTGGTTATATTTAAAAGTCTCACAGCCCAAGGATAGAAATTATCTTTAAACCTGTTTGTTTGGCTGTCTATGCTACTTAGTGATATGATCACCAAGTTCGCTTAATAACCACATGATTCACTCTAACAACTGCAGTGATTCACTTAACAGTTGTGGCAGAAAAGGTTATGCTATGGGGTAAAACTCACTTAGCAACTCCCTCGCTTAGCGACATAAATTTTGGGTTCAACTGTGGTCATAAATGGAAGACTACCTATATGATGGAATGTAGCATTGAAGTATTGATTTGTAATTAGTCCCATCATAACAATTAATACTAGATGGATTTATCTGTAGATCCGGCTAAGTTCAGGAATTAGTTGATGAGACAAAGTGTCAGGATTCATACAGCTCAGCATGAAAATAATTTATTGTTGTTGATATATGTCTCCTCAGGATCAGGCTTTGGATCTGTCTCTTTAAGAGTTATTACAAACCACCCAAAGTTTGGAGTGGTATGGCATACTGATAATTACATATGTTTAGATTATGTAACAGAACTCACGTATAAACCATGATTTATAAATCAGAATGGCAAACCAAATATAGTCTGCGGCAGTGGAGGACCTGCATTCCGCTCCCTCTTCCAAGCCCCGAGTGGCCAGCCTTTCGCCTCCGCGGCTCTCGCTCTAGCCTTGTCCGGGCTCCTCCTCAGCAGCCTGCCAGAGCTCTGGAAAAAAGTGGCGGGAGCCGAGGCTGGCCACTCGGGGCTTGGAAGGGGGAGCAGAATGCGGGTCCTCCACTGCCGGAAAGTCCAGGGAGGGAAGCGGGGCTGCCCCGTTTCCTCCTGAGGCTGCTTGAAGAGGGAACCGGGGCTTCGGAGACTCGCCCGCGGCCGGCTTCTCTGGAGCGGAGGGGGGGGGAAAGAAGCGGAGCTGATCCTCTTGCTGCTGCGGGCCTGGCTTGCGGAGTGCCAAAAGGGGAGGGGGTCTCTTGGAACACCCCCCACCCCTCTTCGCCTTTCGCCTCCGNTTTTTTTTCATTTTTTAATGTTCTGCGCATGCATTTATGGGCACCTGCACATGCACGCAGAGCAAAATTGCGCTTGCACCGAACCAGCAGTAATGCCAGCAGCAATCCATCCCTGGTATGAGGGAAATCTCACAGGCATGCTACTATTCCTGGTGGATATACTTAGCCAAGAACAATGGTGTAGGAGGTGAATGCATGCTGAACATTCAGGGACGTGGTTTTTGTACAAAATATATACCATCTCATACAAAGATTCAATATGAATCTTGTTGAAATTATCATGAATCATGGTGAAACTAGTTAAGGAGAGAACCAACCTAGAACTTATGAGAAATTAGACAGAACAATTAATCAGTGGAACAACTTGCCTCCAGAGGTGGTGGGTGATCCAATAATGGAGGTTTTTAAGAAGAAATTGGACATTGGACAAATTGGATATTTGTCTGAAATGGCACAGGATTTCCTGCTTGAGCTGGGGGTTGGACTCGAAGATCTCTGATGTCCCTTTCAACTCTGTTATTCTGTTATTCTTGTGAATACAGAAATTATGGCACTATTATGCAAAAGTCTGACTAATTTTGGGACATTAGGAAAGAAAGTTTACACTTTTCCAAAAGTGTGATTTTATAGTTCAGAGTACATGTCTGTTTACAATAATGGAGGTTTTACTTGACATACAAAGAGCAATTTAGAAAAGAGATTAGTCAGACTCTACCTAATTTCTGTTTATGATACTATTATGACTACAACCTATGACTATAATAATGATAGTACAAAAATACTGGTGTGTTAATCAAATTCAGGCAGTTCTTATGTAGTTTGTCCTCCCACATACTAACTGAAATAGGCAGTACTACTTTTTCAGAAGGGTAAATAATGTGACTGCTATCTGGGTTTGGTAATAAGAGGTGCTGCTAAGCCTTAGATCAGGGACCATTCTGATTCATAGAGAAAATCAGCCTTAAATAATACTAAAGCATTGTAGATTGTTGCCCTTTATTTTCCCCCCTTAAGGTATTTATTTTTTTCTTCTGAATTTTATTGCTTTCATTAAAAGCAATAAAAAGTGATTTAGAAACAAATCTTTTCTATGGTATAGATTTTCTCTTTAACCAAAGGAATAATAAGCTATTGCAATTTTAGAAAAAGCTCCAGTTTAAGTTTTAGCTTTCAGCCCAAAAATTTTAAAGCATTTGAATCATGGAGATACTCAAAGGTTGAGGAAAATGTTCACTTCTCTTCTGTTGCTTCTAGGTATGGTGCAGGAAGATTATCACAGCCAAAATCCATATCACAATGCTGTCCATGCTGCTGATGTCACGCAAGCTATGCATTGCTACTTAAAAGAGGCCAAGGTAACCACACAAGCTTAGCTAGAATTTCCATAGACCACACAGCGATGAACTCATTTTACCAAGAAAACAAAAGTGTTCCACAATTGTACTTATGTCAGTAAAAACCGCCAATGGAATCTCCAATGCTCATTCCACCTGAGGGATGGAACATACAGAACAAAAAAGAATGCAGCTGTTTAAACCAATCTTAAAAGTAGAAATTATCCAGAAGGGTGACTTTAGGGCAGAATAGGATCTTCTCCAAGAAACAGCGCATTCCATCAATGTTTTGAAAAATTGTCCAACACTTTGTGAGATTGTAAAAAAAAAGTTAGAAGATCTTTCATCAGGAACCCAAACAAACAAACAAACAAACCTTGAGATCTCATTTTAAAAAATCTGAGAAGTTCTCACCTAAGTTGGAGAGATGTTAATGGTCTGGTACAAGTTTTGTGGGATTTAGGCAATTCTAAATCTTTTTTGGCCCAAAGTAGATTGAGAGAAAGGGTGTTAACAGTGTATAAAAACTTGCCAATGTTTGGTCTTGGGTTCTTTTGTTCGTGTTTTGAAAACTTGAAACTAACCAGCATTTCCTGATTTCAGATAAATGAAGTCTGATTTGTTTACAGTTGGAAGTAGATGCTTCCAGATTCCTTTCTGCAGAAATGCCAAGAGAAACAAAAGGCAAAGCCTAAAATCTATGCCAGTTCATGACCATAATACAGAGTTTAATATTACAGTCAAACTTGGCCATTAAAGCAGATGAATAATGCCAAGCCGCATTTGCTGAAAAAGCAAATTATGGGAGAAAGACGTTAACAGGCTGAAGAGAAAAGAGACATGTTTAAGAGTTCTTTGTACCCAATTCATTCCTGCAAATGCCCTTTTAAAATATTTTTTTCACTTACCTGAAATTCAACATGTTGGGACAGAATCTTAAAAAAAACAATTAACAGAGAAGAGCTGTAAAGGGGAGAGGGAGGCAATCTTGCCTCTATTGATTCTCATTTTAAAATGTACTATTCTCCATGGCATTTCCCATTGCCATTAGCAAGATAAGCAGAATCCCCCAGTATACTTTTTAAAATTACTAACATTCTTCACCTGAGATATCATTGGTCACATAAAATATCTGAAACAATCAAAACTTTTTATACTATACAGCTACTTGCAATTTAGATACAACCTTTAGTCTTTTTCTCTGGTACCTGAAAGATAACAACCCACAAGTCGTGAGGTAATGTGATTCTAGATGAAAAGGCCCAGTGGAGGAAAATCGAAAATATTTTTTTGTATTTATTCCCAACAAAAATTTAAAAAGCTACAATAGTTCTGGAAAAATGTATTTTTTCCACAGATTATTCAATTCCCCCAATTCTTTTCTTTTACATCCATCCTGAGTACATGTACTTTTTATGTACATTATACAAATACAGCATTTTTCAATAAATATTATAAAACAAAATGCTACTTTCTGCCCTTCCCCCCCCCAAAAATCCCCAGATATTGAACTTTACAGCATATTTGCCAGAATTAAAATATAATTGCTTGTTTCTCAAAGTTACACATCATATCTGGTCTAAGACTCTGATTTATTTATTTCCTTATTTATTTGTTTTTTGAATTTATTGTCCTCCCAACTCCAATAGACTCTGGGAGCATATAAAAGTAGAAAAGAACATTAAAAAGCATATAAACATCAAATCAGACAGCCCAGACTAAAATAAACTTATGAGCAGGAAAAATCAAATAAAACAAAACAAGATCCCTAGTCAAATAATAAACTTCAACTCCAAGCCAGGTTTTCATATCTTTCAAGAACCTTATTTTTAATCTTAACCTTATTCTTATTTTTTATGTTTCATTGCTTTACTATTGTTATGTTTACATTTTTATCATTTTTTTCTGTCTAAGACGAGATGGGCAGCAAACAAATTTAACAAATAAGCAGAAGGTGCTTGCTGACTTTATCTAGACCTTAATGGAACTACATCTAGCAGTGGGGTACCCCAAGATTCTGTCTTGGGCCCAGTACTCTTCAATAATTTCATAAATGATTTAGATGAGGGAAATTAAGGGGGAGTCATCAGATTTGCAGACAATACCAAGCCGGCAGGAATAGCCAACACTCTAGAAGATAGGCTAAAGATCCAGAAGAATGTTGACAGACAACAGTGAACCCTATCTTTACAAAATGAAATTTGATGATGAGAAAAGCAATGTTTCCTCTAATTTTTTTTCAGTGTGAGCAAAAAAGTATAGTGTTTGAACGGCACATTTTCATGCCTGAGCATCTGATTTTTTTTCACAGATATCACCTAAGATAACAATGAAAGGTACCCGCTTAATTAAAAGTGTTATATAATATCAGTATCACTTAACAACAATCCTGCTTAGCAACCAAAATGTTGGCTCAGAAAGTCTGGCATTTGAAGCACACAAGTCTTAAAGCTGTTGTTACAAGATCCTTGAACCCTAACCCTTTAGAAAAAAAAAACCCAGAGGTCTTCAAACCTGACAGCTTTAAGACTTGTGTGCTTCAAATGCCAGACTTTCTGAGCCAACATTTTGGTTGCTAAGCAGGACTGTTGTTAAGTGATACTGATATTATATAACACTTTTAATTAAGCGGG